GTACACCTATTTCGACAGCGGGATCAATTAAAAAGTCTGAACAGAAAGGGATAACGTTCGGATTAATATTCCTAAAGAGCAACTGTTGGCAGATCAGAAGAGTAGGCAGGCGAACAGTACACCGTGCTCGGAGACAGAGTGTAATCAGCGTGAAATGTTTCTTTCACGACGATCTTGCTCATACATTTCACGCAGCCCGTGTACTTTTGTCCGGTGAGCGACAGTGGCGTAGAAAATAGTAATGTTAACAAAATTCCCCGTGCAGGATTGTTGGTAGGGTCCGTTCGGAATGCGTTTCACCGTGACATTTCTTAAATCTTGATCTAGGAAATAGCCCATAAATAGCGTATAGACCTACTGCCTGGAAGAATGAACAATGAACAATAAACGTCAGCTGATCGAGACACATGTAACAGAGAATTGCCGATAGTATCACGATACCAAGAAACAATCGGAATCCCTGTAAGATATTTTACACGTATCGGTAACAAGAAGAATTTCATATTTCGTGTTCGTTTCTGTGATGCATCTTTCGCTCGATGGCAAGCTACGCCAATGCGTGTCGCGTTCTCTCTTTCTCCTACATTTTTCTACATCAAAAAATGTAAATACACGTAGACGAATTGGACGCCGAAGCAACATGCGGTCATTTCCATTAGAACGTGAAAACTAACATACATACATACATACATACATACATACATGTATGTGCATAGTCGCGCGAAAATGCTTATCTCTTAACGCGTCGACATTTCACCTTTCCTCTATTTCTCTAAATAACAATTTAGAACAAGAACGTCGAATGTATTTAGAAGAATTTTTAATTATCTTACTACAAGCATCGTTATACCATCCTTTATGATTTTCAATTTGCGCGGTAAAAGTGTCGAAAAATATAAAGGTGGATTTCCATTAGTAAGTATATTATCGGCGAAAATTAGTCCGAGTTACATCACGCATGCTGCTAGCGATGAATTCGCATCGAAGCGTTATACCGAAATCATTAACCTGAATTGACTGCGTGAACGTGCAGTCGATTCGACCATAATCCCTCGTCCCGTAAACACAGGACTTTCAATCATATTAATGTAGACACGACGCACCCTAAATCATTACAATAAATGGAATAATAGATGGTAGCGCTCTCGGTGAATTTCAGAGGAAAGTGCATTTTCATCGAGCGTGGTGAACGCGTGAACGATAATTGGAAAAACAAAATCCAGCCACCGTATACCTAAACAAAATTACCGACCACCACGCGTTTAACCGACTCGGAAAATATTTATTTTTATCATAGGTTTCTGCGCTTTTGCCAACGACACGCATCCTTCCAACGATTATTTAACATTAACAGGTTTATAGTTTGTCGCTGGCATTAAATAAATATTGTTTACTTATCGAGGTAGGCGCTTGCACGGTGATCGACCTCGCGGTTCCGTAACTGGCCACGCGGTCCGGTCGACTTGAAACAAAAATCGCTACATCCCCGGAACTAATGAAAGCTATCGGCTTGTTCGAAGGCTCATTTTAAAGGGCATTTCATCCCCTATCCGATGGCTACACCAACTATGTACTATAATTTATGCTCTGTTGTATGTTTATTTAGGAATTTAGTTGTTAAATAATCTCCAGTTTGATTTTATTTCGTTTGAATAGTAAGTTTATTCTGTTATTGAAATTCCAATGTTTATTTAACGTTTGATTTTCGAAACTATTTTGGCGTAGAGTTGGCGCATGCGACGACAACCGTATGCTCTTTCAAATATTCCCGGTGCTCTAATTCGAAGATCGATCGCGGAGTAATCTAGTTTCCACGTAAAGCGATATTTCATTTTCCGAGCGAGTGCTTTTCGCGATCCTCGCGCCCGGGCTTCATTCGTCGCCGTTGGACTCTAATACGAAAACTGACACGCGAGTACGTCCGGAAGTTTCCCGAACAACCAGAAGCTTCGTTGAGAGACGGAATTAAGACGTCATAGAAATGGATCAAGGAGTTTAATTAAGTTGATTCAACGAACGTGCTAGAAAATTTTACGTTCCTTCGCACCTCTTTCCCTTATGAATTGTTTCTTAGGTCGATAATTTTAGAAGCGAAGAGAATCTCTTAATTGTTGGCTTCTTCTCGAGTTCTCGGATCGAATATATTCTTGGATGGTATGTAGAATGTACGTCTAGGTTGTAAGATAGCGCGGAGAACGTATAGCCGAAACGTAGCACGAGTCGGTGGTAATAATTTTTATCTGGGCAAATACTCGTCGAACCAACTAACACCGAAGCTGCTGTCTCGTCCGTTCCCTTCCGTAGCTTTCTTCCGATCGATAAAAGTCTCTGGAGGATTTAGTCCGTTACTGTAGACGAGGGCCATACCCAGAAAATGGAGTAGCCTAATCGGGGGTCCGCTTTCCCGTTGAATTTTCTGGCTGAGAAACGGCTAGAGGGAAGGGGATATGTATTGGGTTCGAACCGTTCCTTATTTCGAGGCTTGGAGCACTGTTTCGCGTAAGACGGTGTTTCACGAAAACTACACGTGTATCTAACTAAAACACCACGTGCCGAATTGCACGATTTATCCTGTTAATTTTATTTTCCATAGCTCGGCATTCTCGGATCTGTCTCTTATTCGTTTCACGATATATTATAATTAGGGGAAATGAACGAGGGCTGGTTAATCCTATCGTACCTCGATTAAATACTTGTATGTATGGTCTAAAGGGTTTTCAAATAAAGTAACTGCGTGTCGTTGGATCCCAACTGGCCGACTGACTGCCGAACGACGAGGATCGTCTTTGTTTATTTCTTTTTAGTTAGTCATACATTAGTAATCTATTATCGCGTAAAACTACTGTTTCATACCACGTCGATGAATATGTATTCACGTGACATTAATCTACGGCGTCCAACGAAATTCTTGACAAGCAGATTCGCTCGCTCGCTCGATTCCGTGTTTCTTCGTCCGTGACATGGGTCGTCGTGTTTCTGAAAATTAGCCACGGATATCTGAAATTTTGGTCGCGCAAGCTCTCTCGCAAAAACTTGGTTCTGCGAGGAAGGGAGAAAGAGAGAGGAGGATGGAGGGTGGGATAGGGTCAGAGGGAGGCAGGATTAAAGCAGATGGAGAGATTCGCGAGTGAGCGCCGCGCAATCGTACGGCAGAAACGGAATATAGGTGACAAAGCGGCGGTGGTGGCGCGGTGGTGGCGAAAGAGAGGCAGAATGAGCAGAAGGTGCAGGAGACGGTGAAACGAGGCGAAAAGAGAAGAGAGAAACCGAGAAGGGGATATCTCGCAAAACATACACAGCTGAAACTGACACATCCTCTGCCAGTCTACCGGCTTTTCTAGCAGGTAGAGAAGGACGAGCGAATCTAGACACTTACTTAGTGACACACGCAGCATTTTGCTGTCGAGCCGAACTTCCTCGCTTCGTCTCAAAGCCATTTCCCTCTGCTCTCTTTCCAGACGCTAAGCCTCTATTTCTCGCTCACCACCATCTCTCCTCCACGGCGTTGTATTAAACCTTGGCTCGTGTTGCGGTACGACAAGAGAGACCGCACCAGTTATCTTACCCACGTTCCATCGCGTTCTCTCCCGCGACGATTTCCTGGAAATCCTTTCTACAATGCCAGGCGTTGTAGTATTCCACTCTCCAGCAATACCAGTTTAATTATTCAGAGATTAATTAAAACCATGACCGACAGGTATTCCATCCATCGATCGTTCGTTCGATCGTTCGTTCGTTCGTTCGTTCGATCGTTCGTTCGTTCGTTCGTTCGTTCGTTCGTTCGTTCGTTCGTTCGTTCGATCGATCGATCGTTTGTTTGTTCGTGCCCCGCGGATTTCCTCTTCGTCATGTTGTCATTCGTCGCTTCACCGCCGGCGGATAAATTAATATCTGTACCGTGGTCGATAATATAAACTGGTATGCAAGTAGTAAATCGTTTCGATCCGACATATCGGGCTCGGGTAACGAATCGATAGCGCGATCGGAAATATGTTTAAAAATATTTTAAGGACCGTCTCGAAAGGAAGGAACCAGCTCGAAAAACGTTTCGTACGTTTACCGAGGCCTTTATTAACCAAAGTCCCCGTCATCCTTTTAGTTTTCTGTTCGTTGTCAAGTTTCAAGACTAACAGCCTCGACAGACAACAATTGCTTTCAACCCTTATCAGACGCGTCTGATTCTGACGTTGGAATTTGCCGTATCACCGAGACTCTTTACGCGTCGCAACCTACCCGTCTCCGAACATCTGTTCTTGACCAAAATTTCCTCCGAAGATGAAACAAGTAGAGGGTAATTGGAAAATGAATTTTCTTATCGTTTCAACGACTTTATCGCAGAAACGGTAACGACGCGACGATTCCGTACCTACTGTTTCGAACGTCTCGGGACATAACTGGCAGTGGTAATTATTTTTGAGGAACGATGGAACGCCACACGCAACATTGCCACCATCGATATCGACACACCATAAACAATAAACAATCATTCGATTCCAAGCATTCGTTACTCACTCATACCACTCATGATTCACACACACACACACACACACACACACACACCACACCTATTACGCAACACGCTCGGTCGAAGCGTTCTCTGAAACGTTACGAAACGAAGGAAGTTTGCTATCAAAGAGTGCGTTTCACCTTGCGTTAAAGAGATAAGGGAATAGATTCGATGAAATTCTGCTTAGTCTTTGAATGGCGGCTTTATTTTCCCGAGACGGTATAAAAATCCATGTCGCTGTTCGGTCCAAGCTTATATTATTCCGTTCGCGAACCGCACGAGGTGCACGCGGCCGATATACAAGTCGTGATCATTTATTTACCGAGGCCCCTGAACAGACTGATCGCGCGGCATGTTCTGAATTTTTCACACGGATCGTTTTCGCCTGTCCTCTCTCTCTCTCTCTCTCTCTCTCTCGCTCTATTTCTGTTCCTCTCCATGCCATTGCCGGCGATCTTCTCTTTGAAGATTCCTACAAAAGGCGGTAATACCAGCAACCTCGCTCGATTCTCGTTTAAAAAATTGAAAGACTATTTCTCGTGACACAACAGAGAGAGAGAGAGAGAGAGAGAGGGAGCGAGCGCGAGTGTACCTTCGAATACCGGTACCTGGTTATATCCTGTGCAAGATGCGCGACGGAACAGTATTCCTCGTAGCGTTTCTGCTTTATTGTCGATTGTCGGTGATCGTTGGATTCAACATTCTTGGAATTTGTCCCAGCGCCAGCTACAGCCACCAGCAACCTTTTCAAGCATTGATGAAAGCGTTAGCGGCACGTGGACACAACGTCACCGTGATATCAACCATCCCGTCAAAGGCAAGTGATTTCTTCTCGTTTCCTTTCCGATCGCAATCGTTGTAGCGGCGATTCCTTGTTACGTCTCGCTGGATAGCTTAATAATTGAATAATATTTATCGTCCGTGGAGAAAAGTTTGAAAAGTATTTCGGATAGACGTTTCGCTCGTTTCTGTATCAACCACGCGTTCCTTTTATGCCTTCTTGCCACGTTCGTCGACAGTTTGTTTCTACTTCTCCCTCGCTTCTCTTGTCTCGTGCAACTTGCACTTTTCTCTGTTTCCGTTTCCTTTCGTTTTTTTCATTCGTATTTTTCGCCCCCCCTCTGTGTCTACAAACTCGAGTTGAAAGTTACGCAAACTTGGTTCGGCTTCAATTTACCCTCACTAGCGTTTCTCCTTGTTAAATGCGTCTCTTTGTAACCCCGACGGTCCTGTTTTTCTTCGTGGAGAAATCAAGAGTTCGGCCGCGCACGTAAATCGCGAACAAACACAAAGATCGAGCCTTTGAAGAAGCGAAAGGTAGACGTTTTGATTGTACTGGCTGGTATGTAGTTACATATGTAGATAGAAGATACGCGATCGGAAATTTATCGTATAATTTTTCAGAAGCCAATACAGAACTACGAGGATGTCGATTTGTCGTTTACGTACCGAAGAAAGAACTGCATCGGTTTAAGGTACGTTTGACATTTTTGCGGAAAGTATCGTTCGTTACGCGACCCGAACATCGAAAGCGATGAAACGAAATTTTCAATTTTCCGCAGACACATGGGAGCGTTCACTTTATTGCACAAGAACATGCGAGAAGGCAACGAGTTGTGCGAGGAGCAACTGTTCAGTACCCCCATCGCAAACTTGATTTCGTAATAGAAATATTAATTGTATTATTTAAGAGCGTACACTATAGCGAGGAACGTAAAGTAGAAAGAAGGAATCTCGCTAACTAGTCCAAGTTAAAACAGTCCAAGAACGTGCCTAGCACGATTTTCTTTCGTAAACTAAAGGAAAGGAAATTACCGACATCGCCTCTCTTCCTCCTCCTCCTCCTCCTCCTCCTCCTCCTCCTCGTCTACCCACCAGACGAAACCCAACGTTTGCCTTTCGCGACGAAGAAATAAAAAAAACACACAACCGAAAGAAATTACAGTACATAATTCCATCTCCGTACAATTTGATCTATAAAACTAATCTAGATCGTGGACGGTGGTGTTGTTTTTTCCAGACGGAACAAGACCTTCGACGCGGTGATTATAGAACAATTATGGTACCAGTGTTATTACGGTCTGGTGAAGCATTATAATTCGCCCGTTCTAATCGGATTTCTGAGCGTTGGAAATCTGCCTTACGTTATGGATTCTGTTGGTAAGCGTACTGCAGCTAAAACGCGAAACAGGGAGAACGACTGTTGGCAAACGCGGATTCTGTACTATGTACGATTACTTTTTACTTTCTGCATTCGGGGGTGAATCTCGTTACCGTGTAGCCGAAAATTTAGGTAAATTGCCGGTAAAGCAGAAAGTCTGAAGAATCGAGAAGCAGCCGTGTTTCGCGAGAAAAGGATAGACGGGAATAATACGTTCCGATCGAGTACCTTTCGTTCGTAATATGTAATTGGTAATTATTCGTTTCTCAGGGAATCCCGACGATCCAATGTTAAATCCCGACATGGCGTACCCTTTTACGAACAAAATGACCATCAACGAACGTATCTGGAATATCGTGTACACAAGCTGGTCGAGAATATACTACGAGCACTGGCACTTGCCGGCAGCACAAAAGATCGTTAACAAGTGGATGAGAAACGTTTCGGTCCGGGACATGGATAAAAACTTTAGTTTGGTGATATTGGGAAACAATCACGTGTTCGGATATCCGAAACCTTTGCTACCGAACGTGATAGAAGTTCACAGTCTCCAGATCACGGAGGATCTTGTTCCCTTGCCCGAGGTAATGGATCGAAATCGGCGAATAAACCGCGCGATATCGTTAGATTTTCCCTCGTCTCGGCGAGAACAACAGTCGATATTTGTTTGCTAGCAGTTAAATTCAGCGAACGATTACTGTTATTATTGTACGTAGAACATACAGAGAGTCGTTTCGCGACGTTTTACTTGGTGAAAAGGTAAGAGAAGCTTCCGTCGCGGACAGAGAATGATTTCTCGGGGGGAAAGTACATAGCGCGCGCTCTCTTGGGTAACGGGTATGTATGTATGTATTGGGAAAAGTTTACCCACGGGCCGGCATCGTGACGGAAAAGTAAAGGTTATCGCTGTTTACCGCCACTCGCTCGTTGTACTTATTCTACCATTTTCCGGAAGAAAAACATTTATCGAAAAGCATTTCACCCTCGGACTGTGGTTCGTTCGGCAAGCGAAACTAAATTCCGATCGATCTTTCTGACGCTTCTCGCGCAGCAATTCATTCATTCCATTTCGGTTTCCCTCAATGTTCTCGCGTTGATAATACGTGTATCGTTTCTAATCGAAAAGAATCCATTTTTCTGCCGACAACTGGCATTTTAGTTAATTCCAACGATCGCTTATCAGCCGGCCATCGTGCTGGCCGCTGTGCTGCACCGTGGCTGCACCGTGGCTGCACCGTGGCTGCACCGTGGCTGCACCGTGGCTGCGCAAATACGCGGAACCGGGGTTCTTTTTTCAAGCGTCTTAACTGTCCCCGTGGCGCAATTGTGCTTCAGTATCACGTGGAATTAACGCGAAACGTGATCGTTATCCACGTGTACGCAAACGTACCCAGCTCCATGGAGCGGTGCAATTAATAGAACAATGCACCTTCTGCTTGACACGACACACGTGTAATCATCGTATCAGTGAGAACGTTCCGAAGAAAGTGGTGAAAGCGTGCATACCTAACATCTACATATACATCTTACTTTGTTCTGTCACGGTGTTTACGAAACATCCAACGTTTCGTTTTTTTTTGATTCGCAGGACATCCAGGAATTCCTAGACAACGCGGTGAACGGTGCAATCTATCTATCTCTAGGCTCGAATCTACAATCCCACGAGTTACCAGTCGGCCCTTTAACGGCGTTGTGCAACGCGTTAAGTTCACTCGAGCAGAGAGTTTTATGGAAATACACCGGAGACACGGTCATTCGTTCGGAGAAGATAAAATTCGTGAAATGGGCACCCCAACAAGCGGTTCTTGGTAAAGCTAAAGAAACTTTAAACTTAAACGCGGCTGAATATACATACATATGTACTGCTTCCGTATACTTTCGATTTCGTTGATTCGTTGTTACGAAGCGTAGATTCGTTGTGCGGGGGAAGGCCAGATGTGTGAACGAGGAGGAAAACGGAAAGAAAGAAACGACTAGTCTCGTTGATCCTAAGAAACACCGATTCGAAAAGATAACTCATGACACGGCGCGGTGCGGCGGTGAAATTCTCCCGGGAAATTCTGACAAACAAGTTCGCATCGTTCGCGGTAACGCTCGAACCCGATGCAAATGCAAGCGGGCGCAAACTTTCGTACACGTTGACAGACAGCTTACTGCTCGCTAGCACCTACCGGGACAATCCACCCTCACTCTTACAGAGAAGGTATTAAAGGCGAAGGTACGATACGTAACGCGAGATCGCGCGCGGAGGCTTACGTATGTAGTTGTGGAATTTACCGTCCACCACTGGGATCGCGAAATTTCCTTGCCACTGTTGTTTTTATACGCTTCCCGGAAGTGGTGTTTAACGCTAGTAATATTCCAAGCCGGATAACCCATAAAGGTAAAGGCCGACTCGATCCACGATACCAGCATACACTTTTATACGCAGCACACCCGAAATTGATGGCCTACGTGATGCAGGGTGGATTGCAGTCGTTGCAGGAAGCCGTCCACTATTCTGTCCCGGTAGTCGCAATTCCCTTTTTCGGAGATCAACTTTTCAACGCGCGTAAAATCGTAGACGCCGGCATCGGACTCACATTGAACATCGATACCGTCACCGACGAGTCCATCCGACAGACAATCACCAACATTATAACAAATAAAACGTAAGTATGTAATTGGTTGCGCGACTTTCGCGAATATCGATAACATTTTTTTTTCTTTTATTTTTATACCAACTCTCGACCTGTATTTTATCGATGTGACATTTGAAAGCGCGAAAGTTGTACCGAACGAATCGCAACCAACTATAGAACTGAAAAGGAATTATGAGTTGTAAAGTACGGAGAAAATGCTTTCCTTTCACGACATACTACTATCATGGTTGAAAAAAAATTATACCGCATATTTTGAATTTATTCGAATCCGTTTATACGTCCTATTACAGTATATTTGTATTTGTATTTGTATTTAACAAGGGACGTTCTTTTTGCAGATACTATAACAATATCAAGACCATGTCGGACATCATAAAAGACGAATTGGTAAAACCGATGGATCGAGCTGTTTGGAACGTGGAGCATGTAATAAAGTTTTCGAAATCACGACACTTACGTTATCGTGCTCGTGATATCTCATCGATCGATTATTATGGAACGATCATAATTTTAATTCTACCCATAATTGTCCTATTATATTATTGTTATCGATTTGCCGATAACAGAAGGAAACCCACGCAGGAACTCGTCCGGATCAATGTCGGGAAACGATTTCCATATCTCGAAAAATTAAAATTTCATTAATTCCTCGATGGTGAACATTTCATTAATTATATAGAAACACAAGAATATATTTAAATAAAAATACTTTGAAAACATGTTGCGAATGCTAGAAACACACGCATGCGATCAGCGGTTCGTTAACGTTGGTAACTATTAAAAATTCTCATGGTACGAACTATCGTATATTACCACATCCGGTTTATTTTTACATAGAAATACAATGATATAAACAATCAGCGAACACTGTTTAACGATTGAGTAAAGTTTAAGTTTAGTAACTAGTACCGACTGCTTAACAATTCCCCTTACGTTTCGGAACGTTATTTTGCTGAAATGTAGAACTAAGAAACTAAGAAACTAAGAAACTAAGAAGCTAAGGGTCTAAGAAACTAAGAAACTGAGAAACTATGAAACTAATAAACTAAGGAACTAGTAATTACTCTTTACGTTTAGTTTATCGAAATGTTCATTCATAACACTTTCTTATTCGTTGGAAAGTATGTAATTGTAAAATCGTAATAGCCGAGTGTTAGCAGCGTAATTTGCTTGTGTCAAGTAAGTTTATTAAATTGTATCGTCGCGTATCGTTTCTAGCGTATCATTCCACGACAGTCGGAATAAAGCTCTGAGACAAGGAACACGTGTCGTACTGATATTCCCGTTATCCCTACGCATCCCTATAATATTGTAGGGAGCATGAGTAACTCCCTAGTTACTCCCGCAGTTCACTGTATATCTATATACATGTGTCAAGACGACATCTACCACAAAACGCCCAAGTTTGTCGAGAAACAATTCACCCCTTTGCACCCTAGACGGCGCCCCTATTAATTTAGATCGAAAACTAATCTCATAATATGTCAGTAATTTTCGATAAAGAACGGTGGCTTTTGTTTTTTTACAAATTGTAACCCCCAAAAATCTAACCCCCCAAAGACCCAACACCTCAGGCTAGGGGATTTAGGCCCGGGGAAGTTAGGCCTGTGGCGTCGCCTCCCATGCTCGCCACCAGAGGAGTCCACCAGAGGAGTCGCGCTCTGACAAGCGATCGATTATTTTTTGTTTTGATGTATTTATGTATCACGGTTACGTTAATGATTTCAGTTAGCGCATCATTAAAGAATACACCGTCAAATTGTATGACCGTCAGTGGACAATGTCGACCGGCTCCACTAATTCCGTGCGTTCCAGACGCGTCGCAGTTATACGATTATTGTGTGAAAATTCTGTTGAAACTTGATAACACACTACCAGCGGACACTTTAGCCGGCCATCGTGACCGATTTTCGAAACAATTCTATGAACCGAAGAAGTTGTACAACACCGTAAAACAAAGACAGTATTTTAAGCATGTTATAACGACGCCTGCGTTACCCGAGGTAAGATTTTTCGAATTAAATTTATTTTTAAACAGAATTTAGTGATTCGAAGGAATGGTTTCTACCATAAAATGCTCATAAAAGCTGTTAAATTTCTTTATCGATTTACCCGATGTATAATGTTTATCGAAGAATCCACCAAACTTTTTGATACAATCCGAGTTACGAACGTACGCGACGCCGAGGGTGGTATCGCCACCAGAAGAATCTTTAGCGGAAAGGTAAACTTAAATAAAGTGCGAATAGAAAATGTTAATACTAATTAGAAAAATGATCGCTTATTACTCTTACGCGATAGAAGATTATTAATTGTTCCGAACATATGTATTTTAGAGAAAGTCCCATCGATCATTTACAGCAAGAAAATAGTCACCAGAGACAAGAATCGCATCGTCTACCGATGGATCATCAACGAATCACGGAAGAGCTTCAGAGTCGTGTCATGCAACTTGAATCGGGTTTGCTTATTAACGTAAAAACGTTTTAATTAATCATTAACATTATGGTTTACAAAAACAGTCTATGTAACAAGTTGTTTTTATTTTTTAGGGCAATGAAATTGAACAAGAAAAACAGGTAAATCAGGACTCTCTTAAACAAAAAGCAGACACGATGGCGAAAGTTGATGAAAGCGAAGGTTGGTGCATACATACGTGTACATTTATATCGCAATCTAATATAACTTCTCTGTTATGTTTTTGTAGAAAAGTATTTATTTTGTTTTGGAAGAGAGATTTCAGAAATTGAAAGATGTATATGCAAAATGAAGAGAAAGAACATATCAGTTTAATCAGGAAGGTAGGAATATTGTAATTTTCATAGTTTTTAATATCATAAGAAAATATTCATGCTCGTTACGTGTATCCTCGTATGTAACAGAAAGCCGAAGTGGACAAACAAATTGTGTTATTAAAAATGTCAGAAGAAAAATCGGAACGTCGAACCGTTTTTAGCGGAACGCCGACTGGACGAGTTAATAGAAGGTGAAGATATAACTGAACAGGAAGCTCGAAAAGCTATCGAAGGACAAGAGGATTTGGACGATATAAAAGAAGAAGTAAATACCACGAGAGGTGAAAATTTGGTTAATACCTTTCTTTTACTAGATTTACGGTTATATTTTATTTTTATTTCGTTCCGGTGAAAGTGTAATATTTTAGGCGTTGATTGGCAAAAATGATTTTATAACTTGTAAAAAAACGGCTTTAGGGTCAAAATAGACCCGCAGAACAGGGTCAAAACAGACCCGCAGAAAAGGGTCAAAACAGACCCGTAGAAAAGGGTCAAAATAGACCCGTAGTAAGGGGTCAAAGCAGACCCGTAGAACAGGGTCAAAGCAGACCCGCAGAACAGGGTCGAAGCAAACCCGCAGAACAGGGTCAAAACAGACCCGCAGAACAGGGTCACAAAGCAGACCCGTAGAACAGGGTCCAAGCAGACCCGCAGAGCAGGGTCGAAATAGACCCGTTGTAAAGGGTCAAAACAGACCCGTAGAATAGAATAGACCCGCAGAACAGGGTCAAAAGAGACCCGTTGTAAAGGGTCAGAACAGACCCGTAGAATAGAATAGACCCGCAGAACAGGGTCAAAAGAGACCCGTAGAAAAAGGTCAAAACAGACCCGTAGAATAGAATAGGCCCGCAGAACAGGGTCAAAAGAGACCCGTAGAATAGAATAGCCCCGCAGAACAGGGTCAAAAGAGACCCGTAGAAAAGGGTCAAAACAGACCCGCAGAACAGGGTCAAAAGAGACCCGTAGAAAGGGGTCAAAACAGACCCGTAGAATAGAATAGACTCGCAGAAAAGGGTCCAAACAGACCCGCAGGACAGGGTCAAAACAGACCCGTAGAATAGAATAGACCCGCAGAACAGGGTCAAAACAGACCCGTAGAACAGGGTCAAAATGGACCCACAGAGCGGGGTCAAAATAGACCCTTAGAACAGGGTCAAAATAGACCCGAGACTAAATAACTATTTCCTGATTTCTTATCTATTTTTATTTCGTTCCGGTAAAAGTGTAATATTTTAGGCGTTGATTGGCAAAAATGATTTTCTAACTTGTAAAAAAACGGCTTTAGAAGGCGATCTACATGATTTATTAGCCGAGAAAGAAGAATGAGATTTAAAGATGGGGAAATTGGAAGTTGAAGGTGAACGGTGCCGTAATGAAACGAATATGCATGCCGATACCATGTTGTATGAATTATTGCGTAAGTATTTAAATTTATTCGATAATAAAATGGTGAATGGTTTATGTTGATATCTCTGATAGAAAGGTGTATTTTTATTTCAGTAAATTGCATCTCCGAAGCAGAAGATATTATCGAATATTCATTAAACGGTATCGATAATCCAGCGATGTCAGACCTAACTTGTACTCCTCAATACTCATTAAAAGTGCAATACACGTTGCATATGTTTTGGGTCTTTATTCAATACATGGAAAATCTACATGAAACACATCTATTGATATTGCATCGGGCGATAGTAAGTTACGAAAGTTAAAAAATGTAGAAGAAAAAAAATGAAGAAAGTCATAGATATTATTTTGAATTTTATCGTGTTGTAGAATCGACCGACGAATGTAAACAGTTGGGAGTTGGAAGTTTGGTAGAGGCAGAATTGTTAAGTATGGATAAAGCAATAGAAGAAGCTGGTAATCGAATACAGGTAATCGCATATTACATTTTAGTGTAATATATAAATTGTTTTTATCCATGGTTATGACATATTTTATGATCAGGACATGGTGGAGAAATCTCGCGCTGGTGATTCCGGGTTAAAATTAGAAGTGAACGGAAAAATGTTAGATTCATGTACAGAATTAATGGAAGAAGGAAAGGTACGTCGCTTATTTTGACCGTTAATATTTAATTTATGAATATTAAATATGGAAAGAGATTTTGAATCGTAGGGCACAGCCTCTGGAACCGAATTCTAGAAACGTAACCATCAATGGTCCGAAGGGCTGATATCAGCAGCGAAGGCGGTTGCATTTGGTGGTAATCTTTTATTGTAAGTGTAGAGGATTTATTTCGGTTTTTGTTTGTTATTAAACCGTAAAATTTGTTTACGCGTGTAGAGAAGCAGAGTAAAAGCAAATAGAAATAGACTTGGCTGCACTCTCAGAGGCATCGAGAGACGTAACACAAGCAACTGGAAGTGTTGTTGCAATTGCTAAAAACTGTGGCCATCTTGTGGAAGAGAATGGTAATTGTAGTTACTACTCGTTATACACTATTTGGATAACGATGATAAAGAAAATAAGCGTTAAAGTTGTTAAGTATTAGAAAGAGTGAATATTTTGAACGATTTACAGATGGAGGCACAAGTTGATGTTTTGGAATGGGAAGAAGCTTTGGAGACTGAAAGATTACGTTTAGCTGCTTTACGCCGCTATCATTATCAACTGGAAGGTGAAGAAGAATGATCGGTACGTATTACCGAAGAATATTAAATAATACACTTTTTAAATAATTCGATTGAAATTAAGAATCAAAAGAAATGACAATGTTTCATCGACATGAAGCAGTATGGAAGAAAATGTTTAGAAATGGAAAGTAAAGAGATTCCATTATAAAATAATATATTACGAGAACAGATTTATGTAGGTTGTCCAAAATGAATTATTGTAATCGAATGGCTACACAAAAGTTACCGTTGAAAATGTAACTGTACCTTTTCTTTAAATGGAAACGTACTTTTTTTTTGACTGCACAGGATGTAGTTTCTTATGTTGTACATAAAAGTACCAACATACTTATGCCCTGAACTTATTCGTTAGGAAGTTATCGAAGCTAAATAAACTTGTAAAGTTGCAGTAAGAACGTATGGTTGAGTTATTAGAAAAGTAATGAAATAATGTGGTTTTTCATAAATTAGAATATACATTTGTCCTTTGTTTAAAGTGTATCCTCATCTGGGAAAAGTAGTTGTTATGTAATCGACCTATCATTTATTTGCTGAAATCGAGAGACAAGTGAGGAAAAAATGAGATCTTTAAACGTTGAAATTCGCAAGTTGCACCTTTTTTTTGTTTTTTATTATCATAGTCATATCAGTATTGTAGTAAAGTAGCGATACATGCATATGTATCGGAAGTTATGAGCCGATTTAACTAGTAGATATATGTGGCGTCACCTCACCTCCCATGCTCGCCACCAGAGGGCCACCAGATGGGTCGCGCTCTCACAAGTGTTCGAGCGAGCCTCCGTTAGTATATATACACTCGGCGAACGACTTTCTATCCGGGCGTCGGGCTACGGGCGTCGGTTAGGTCGTGGGGGTATTGCCGCGGGGGTTAGGTCGAGCTTACGTTGGGGGGGTTTCGTCGCGGTTAGGTCGCGGATAGGGGCGTATAGGTCGCGGGATAGATAGGGTCCCCGGTGTAGCAACGCAACCTTCGATCTCTGGAGTCCAGGCTCCGGGTGTTAGAATTGATCCGGAGAGGGCTACAGAGATCGAAGGTCCGGTGTTAAACCGGCTCGGTGGGGGGAGGGGGCGTAGCTCGTGCGATATTTCGCCTGACCTTGAAATATCAGTCGTTCTCAAAGTACTTGAAATTAAAATTTAATTTTTTTTTTTCATAATATAATTCGAATAATGCCGCGTGACAGACAGTGAAATAAGAGTGATCGTAAATTTAAAAGAAAAGAATAAAAGAATCGTGAAAAGTATGGCATAATAGTATGGCAAATCGTATAATAAATGTAATAAATAAATGAAATGCTAAAAGGCCATGTGCGTAAGATCAATGAATACAGAAATAAATACAGATACAGTATGAATTTAAGGGGCCTTTCTACCTTTAAAATAGTCGAAATATTGAAAGAAATGAGAAATGTACCACGCGCAATTTTTCTGCGTGTGTGATAACTAAAAAACTATTCAAGATATCAACATGAAATTTATACACAAATATGAAAATATTCAGTATTTTTTCGTAAGAAAAGATCCTAGTTCATGCTAACCACACTCATCTATAGAATATCGTTTTAGGATTTCGAATAACTTGTTCGCATATCACGTACGCAGTCGGGTGCCGTTCGTATAATTGATGATCGACAAAAATATAGCTAAATATATAATAATGAAGCACTTGTAGGCTTGCACTACTTCTAGAGGACAACATCGGGAAAAATACAACGTTAAAAAGTTATTAAAAAATTAAATTAAATTAAAAAATTTCAAATCCTCCAGGAAAAAATTATTTTCGATTGCGGGGCCAATTACAATCATTTTTGTGAATAGATATACCCTCGAAATCCTAACCATTTTCGAGAAAAAAATTCCTAATCGAAAATGTAATTTATGGGCAGAAATGTTGTCCGAAAATTTCATGCGGATCTTTACAATGTCATAACTTCTGAACGGATCGAAGGATTTTAATTTTCAAAAATGCAAACGACGCGTATTTTAATCAAGAATACGTAGAAATCGCAAAAATATTCGAAAAGTTGATCCTTGACACCGTAAAGTGACAAAAACCCCATAAAAATGGTCCAATTTTCAAACCGCCATAACTCCTACAATAGTGAATATATTTGAATGAAACTTTTTTCTGAAGTAGAGCTCATAGGTACCTACAGAAAAGTATTAGACAAAATTTCCGTAGGGCCTCAAACAAATTTGTTAAAAATGAAAAACGAATTTCTATAAAAAATCGACAGGGGGGGCTGCCTCATTTTTCAACAAAATTAAAAAATTTCAAATCGTTCAAAAAAAATTATTTTCGAATACGGGGGGCAATTACAATCATATTTGGTGAATAGACATGCCCCCGAAATCTTAGCCATTTCGAGGAAAAAAATTCAGTGCGGGCGGAACTTTAAACGTTAATAATTTCTTAACGAAGCCTCCACCAACAAATTGCTATTCTTGCATTTTTCCCGATTTTCCCGACTAGAAGTAGTGCAAGCCTACAGTGGTTCATTAAAATCAAAGTTAGAACAGGGTCAAAACAGACCCATAGAGGAGGGTCAAAACAGACCCGCAGAACAGGGTCAAAAAAGACCCATAGAGGAGGGTCGAAATAGACCCGTAGGCAGCATAGATCAGTGTCTGTCTGTAGTGGTAGCATATACATATGACGGTTATGGTTCTTCTTATAGAATAGAA